AGAATAGAATAGAATAGAATAGAATAGAATAGAACAGTACAGACAATGGAATGGAATAAGAATAGAATAGAATAGAATTGAAAATAGAGTAGAACAGAACAGAACAGAATTCTTTATTGGCCAAGTGTGATTGGACGCACAAGGAATTTGTCTTTGGTGCATAAACTCTCAATGTACAAAGGAAAAATAAAATAAAATACATTCATCAAGAATCATACGATACAACACTTTGTGATAGTTGTAGGTTACTAAATAAGCAATCAAATCATACTAGGGAACTCAATACAACAATATAAATTGTAGAGATACAAGCAACAAGTTTATAGTTATAAGTGGGAGGAGATGAGAAGAGTAATAGTGATAAGTCTTAATAAATAATATGAGTAAACAATTTATAATAATTATAATTTTAATATATGTTGTATTTTATCATATATATATATATATATGTATATAATTATATATATAAAAAAATATAGTAAGTAAATGTTTACTTAGTAAGTAATTACTTAGTAAATCATAATTACTTACTTAGTAAATAATAATTATTTACTAAGTAAATAATATACTGCCCTGAGTAGTGGCCGTGGGGAAGGGGAGGCTGGGAAAGGGCACCCTCAGGTGATCCCGCGGAAGGGGAGGAGCCAGCTCAGCCGCCATCTTCCTGCCTCCCCAGACGGGCTGCTGCTGTCGCAAAGCCGCCAACGCATCGTGTGCCTCAACCTGCTGAAGGCCAGCCTGCAGGTGAGCCCCCCTGGGGTACCTGGGGTCGCCTCCCCCCGAGTCTCTGCCCCTCCCTCTGAGCCTCTCTCTCCCCCCCCTCCCCCTCCCTGCAGGTCATGGCCATCGACATCTCCGTGGCCGTCATGGTCAGCACCTGCATTGTCCACTACCGGCACCAGGAGTTCTCCCACTGGGTGGGCCTGCTGACCTCGACGGAGCAGGGATCCCCTGGCTGGGCCCTCTTGGCCAGGGGCCCCGGCGGCAGGTGAGAGCGGCCATCACGCGGGTTGCGGGTGTCGCGGGAAGGGGCTTGGCTGGGCAGGTGCCCAGGCAGGTCTCAACTAATGGCTGCAAAGCGAACCAACGTTGCTAAGTGAGACGTTTCTTCAGTGAGTTTTGCCCTCTTCTGTGGCCTGCCTTGCCACCGTTGTTAAATGAATCACCGCAGGGGATACGTTGGTCACCTGGTCGTTGAGTGAATCCTGCTTCCCCGGTGGACTTTGATCATCAGAAGGCTGCAAAAGGGGATCACGTGACCCCTCCCCCCCCGGGACACCGTCCGTCCTCCCTGGGACCGTCATAAGTATGAGTCAGTGGCCAGGTGTCTGAATTTTGATCATACGACTGTGCGGAGGCTGCAATGCAACGGTCATGTGTGTGAAAAAGGGTCATAAGTCGCTTTTTTCAGGGCCGTTGTAACTTCGGACGGTCACTAAGTGAACTGTTGTAAGTTGAGGACTTCTGAACAGAGGGCAGGCAAGCATCTTGGCACACAGCCACCCTGGTCTCCTCTGGGCAGCAACCCTGGAGCCCTTTACAATGTTTCATTTAGTGACCGATGGAAATTACAACGCACCGAGAAAAGTGACCGCTGGCTGTTTTTCACACTTGCGACCGTTGCAGCGTTCCCCGTGATCACATGATCCGAATTCAGACATAATTTGCAACTGGTCCCAGGTCCCCCTTTGCGGCCTTCTGGCCAGCACAAATCAACGGGGAAGCCAGGTTCATTTAACGACCATCTGACTCAACTGCAGGGATTCACTTAAGTGTGGCAGGAAGGGTCGTAAAATGGGACGAAGCTCACTTAACAACTGCCCGGCTTAACAACAACAATTTGGGGTTTCGATGGCGGTTGCAAGTCGAGGAATGCCAGTTAATTATTTTATTTGGTTCCTTCTGAAGCCTGATCAGTTTTCGAACTCAAAACCTTCGCCGAGAACGTAGGGAATCGGGTTTGGGGAGTCTTTGTCACACACACACACACACACACACACACACAAACTCACGGCGATTTCTAGCAGGAACTGGCCAGACTGAGTCGGCCGGCCGGTCTGCCTTCCTTCCCTGCGGCCAAACCGGCTGAACCGGCCGGGTGGGGTCCCGGGGGGGATCAAAGCCAAATCCTGGCAGCAGGATTTTTGGGGCCTTCATTGTCCCCCCGCAGCAGGATTGAGGGCTACTCGCCTCGGGACAAGAGTTATACCGAAGAGAACCATTAAAGAAAGGCTGCCAAAGGAGGGATGAAACAAAAGGGGAATGAGAAAAAAAAAAGTCAAAATATGAGAGAAAAAAAAATCAAAATATGAGAGAAAAAAAATCAAAACAGGAAATCGGAGGTCTCCAAACGTGGCTAAGACTGGTGGGCTTCCGACTCCCAGAATTCCCCAGTCAGCAAAGCCCCCGGTGTAAATGACTTTAAATAGTTGAATTGTTGACTTGGCCTGTGGCGGGTTGGCCCAGTCCTGCCCCAGCCATTCCTTGGTGTCCCTAGCTGAAGCTGAGAGCACGTGTGTGTGTGTGTGTGTGTGTGTGTGTGTGTGTGTGTGTGTGGAGGGTGGGTTGATCAAGAAAAAGGGACCCCCACCCCCAAATTCCCCCAGGAGGAAAGATTCTGAGGGAATTGGGTGTGGGGATTTCCTTTGGCTTCATCAACTCCGCTCAAACCAACCACGGACCGGCTGGGTCCAGAATGAGCCAACCCATCAAGTCAACAAGATTCAATTATTTGAAGTAATTTGAAAAGATATATATATATATATATATATATATATTTTAATCTTTCTCATTCACGTTTCGTTTCATCCCACCGGGTCCCTCTGTACGTGAATCCCAAAGGCCCAAAGCGGGATACCCTAATGTGCCACAATGGTCTCCAGTCTTGGCCACTTTAAGACTTGGGGACTTCAACTCCCAGAATTCCACAAATCTTACAAGTGGCCCAGGTTGGAGACCTGGCTCGGGAATTCTGGGAGTCGAAGTTCCCAAGTCTTAAAGTGGCCAAGATTGGAGACCCCTGCTTCAGAGTCAGGGGCAGTGGTGATATTCTACTGGTTCGGCCCAGTTTGGGCAAACTGGTAGTAAAAGATGCTACCATTCAGCTGAACCGGTAGTAAAAAAAAAACAGCTACCGGTTTGGCTGAACTGATATTCAGTTCAGCCAACGATCAGCTGTTCCAACAATCAGCTGTGCTGGGATCCCCTTCGCTGTCTTAGTGCTTCCTCCAGGAGGCAAAAAACGGAGCGCGGGGGGGGCGGTTGCTGCAAAAAAGAAGCCACACCTACCCGCTCACGTGGCCACGCCCACTTAGCCACGCCCGCAGAACCAGTAGTAAAAATATTTGCATCCCACCCATGCTCAGGGGCTGCCCTTGGCCAGGGTTCAGTTTGGCCCCTCCAGCCATTTGCAGCCTGGGGATGGATGCTGGGTCAAGGCCTCGGGGGTGGAGTGGTGGGAGGAGGAAACGGTGGGTGCTTTGGCTAAGGAGGTGTCCCATCGGAGGATATGAATTGCTACAAGCCAGGATCCCCTTTAGGGCAAAAGGCCTCCCGCTCCTTAACTGGGCTACAGAGATTGAACGCTGTTTCCTTATGTCACGCACCCCTCCTCCTCCTGTTCCCCCCTTCCTCCTCCCCCCCTGTTCCCCCCCTCCTCCCCTCCTGTCCCCCCCCTCCTCCTCCTCAGGATGCCGCAGATCCTGGCCACCATCATCCTCAGCGCTTCGGTGTCCAACGTCAGCCTCTCCGTGCAGCTGGGAGACACCCCACCCTTCGCCCTGGGCTTCAACTCCATCTCCGTGGGTGAGTGGCCGGAGCTGCCCTCCTCAGCGCCCGGCCGGCCGGCTTTCTGATCACCCCAATCTTTCCGAGGGCCACCTGGAAGACCCTCCCTTCCCCTGGGAGTGCAGCTCCCTTGGCGGGGGAGGGCAAGTCCTCTCCCCTTCCTTCTCTCCCCCTCTCCTCTCAATGGTCAGCTGACTCAGGGCCAGCCAGACCAGGCCGGATTCTTGCTTCCTGCTCTCTGCCCCTCCCACCATTGGGATTGGAACTCGGGGCTACAACCTTCCTCCGTGTTATTTCCCCCCCCTGCACCCCCCAAATGCCTTTCGGACCCGTGAAGGTCTCCGAAGTTGCCGCTGCCTGCCCATTGCCCACTTTAATTCATTCGTGACTTAAATTTTATACACTGCCCATTTCCCTCTTTTGGGTGACTCTGGGTGGTCTACAATAGACCAAACATAAATATCAACCCATGAAAAGTATTCAAATCCGGATTAACAATAGTTAAACGTTACTCAAGTACGATGAAACGTTGTTTTCTGTTTGAAATTAAACCAGAGGACCCCAAAGGCGGCCATTTTTAAGGCTTGTGGACTTCAACTCCCAGAATTCCAGAGTCCCCAAATCTGGGAGTTGAAGTCCACGTGTCATAAAAAGTGGCCGCGTTTGGGGTCCTCTGGTTTAAAACAAATGACCCTGGTTTGTTAAGGAGCCGCCCCTGGCTGACTCTCCATGATAGAAATCCGGGGTCTGGTAGCCCCCTTTTCACTTTGTTCGATAGCCCATATTTGGGACCAGAACATTTGTCGCTAAGCGAGGCAGTTAAGTGAATCCTGCCCAGTTTTTTACAACCTCTTTTTGTTGGGTTCCTCAAGCAAATCACCACAGTTGTTAAGTGAATTACGCGGTTCTTAAGTGAGTCAGCCTTCCACCGTTGACCTCCCTTGTGGGAAGCAAGCTAGATTTTATTTAAAAGCTGAAGTTTTTGTGAGAGTCTGGATTTTTTTTTCTTCTTTATTGCAGGGCAGAGGTGGGGAAGCGATGGACCCTTTAAGACTTGTGGACTTCAACTCCCAGCATTCAGCTGGCTCAGGAATTCTGGGAGTTGAAGTCCTTTCCCATCTCCTTGGCACAGTGACACAACTCTGGTTTTGCGAGTTCTGCAGTGATGCACCTTGCCCGCCCCCCCCTTAATAATTGGGGTGGGGGAAACAAGACCCCCCCCCGCCATGCCAAAAGCAACCAAGAAGGAAAAGAGCCCCCTTGTGGCGAGATGGGGAGGGGGCACAAATTTAATAAATAAATAGGAAACCATAATCGATACGGCCACTGCCTTCCTCCTCTGACTTAGATTACCAGCACCTCCGTCCTCAGAGCGTCCACCAGCGGGCCGTGCTGGCCGTCGACCACTTCTGCTGGCGGGTGGGGGCGGACTCGCACATCCAGCGGGCCCCCCACCCGCCGAACATGCACGTCTGGGGAGAAGCTTTCATCCTGGACTCCTTCAACCTGCAGGTGCAGCACAGGGCAGGCTGGCGTGGGGTTACCTCACTGCTGCTCAACCTCATGCGCGTGAAGCGCGCTCTAGTAGAACTGGTAGTAAAATGAACAGGGTGAATTCCACCACTGGCACGGCTGCATTGGTGCGAGCGACGGGCACTGAAGCCTTCGATTGGCACGAGTACCCGCCACTCTCTCAAATGGAGCTTGCTTGCATGGCCCGGTTCCAAACAGGACGCGATACTGGTCCAGAACGGGGAGATTGGAGACCTCTGGGTTACCTGGTGTGATGGGGAGGGAAGGTCTGCAGGCGGGGGGAAGGGGGGAGGGAATCCTGGCTTTGACTCTCCGGCCGAGACCCCACCCGCTGCCTCTCGGCGCACCCCAGGGCCTCGCTGGACGCTCTCCCTCTCCGCTCGTCCCCCAGGGCAGCTACAACCAGCCGCTGGGCACGTCCAGCACTCACGCGGACACCCTGTTCCTGGATTGCACCCTGCGTGGGCTGCAGCTGGAGTCCTCGGACGCCTGCACCGACTGCCTCTCCCGGCTGCTGCTGCTCTTGCGGCCTCAGGACCCTGGGCCCCCGGGCCCCCTGGAGGAGCCGCCCCCCACTCTGGGGGAGGAATTTGGGGTGCTCTGGAAGGTGGACCTCAAGGTGGAGGACGTCAACCTCTTTACGCTCTCCAGCTTGGCAGGTAAGACTTGGGGGGGGGGGGCGGGCCTTGGGGACTCGGGGGGGGGGGGGGGGGGTGTCTTTTGTACCCTGGGAAAGTAGCAGAGAGGAGACCCCTTTGCTTGAGGGGGGAGGCTGAGGCAGGGACGGGCCCTTCTGGGCCCCAGCTTTCCGCTTCTGAACCCAGAAATTATTTTGGGGAGAGTGGTGGGGTGGACAGTTGTGCCCGGGCCTCACTGA